TCCCTAGGGAAGGTGGCAGCAAAGCTGTGGCTCTAGAACATTCATTCGCTCATTCCCCCCTTCATTCATTCAGGATGTGTACCCCAAGCGCTCAGGGTGCACAGGCCCTACTGTGGGCGCAGTGGCAGGAAGGGCAGGAGGAGGGACCCAAAGGTGAACAAAACAAAAAACAAAAGCATGCCTTTGTGAAGGTCACTGCAGCCGAGGAAACAAGCAAAGAGCAAGCACACAGCGACCCCCACGAGGGCCCCAGAGCAAGGGGAGCAGTAGAGGGTGAGCCCCGCGAGAGCCAGGGGAATGGGTATTGCTCAGACACAGGAAATGAGCTAGGAGGATTTCAGGGAAGCAGGTACCCCAGGAGGGAACAGCAAGACCAGAGGCCTGAGGCAGCTGGGAGATGGAGCACGTGAGAGGGGAGGTTGGAGGGGGAGCGAGCAGATCCAGCCCCTCAACGGGAGATGCACAGGAGCAGGGAGGACTTGGGGTTCTCACTCCTCTGAGTCGGGAACAAGCAGGAGCAGGCACTGACTGCCGTGGCGGGGGCAGGGCAGAGCATAAGAGGGTGAAAGAGGAGGCAGGGAGGCCAGCTGATCATGTCAGCTGTGGTGACGGTGAGAAGGGGGAGTTTGGGGTGCAGGTCACACAGCAGCAGGGCGGCCAGGTGTAGTGGCAGGAATGGGCACAGTGCAGGTTTTCTATGACCCGAGCAGACAGGTGAAGGAGGGAGTCCTGGAGCCCTTGGTGACTTTTGCAGGTTTTTATTGGGATTTACCAGGTACACGGCAGTTAGGGGTGCCGGGGGCCGGGAGGCTAGCAGGCCTCCCAGCCCCCAGCAAGTCTTCGCTCTTCCCGTGGTTCTCTTTCTTCTCTGCTTCTTCTGGTGTCCCCGTCACACCGCCCTTATAGGCCTAGTCTCAGCCCAGGTGAATCCCATCTCCATGCGCCCACACCCTACTCCAGGTGCCGCCATCAGGCGTGCATTCAGGACCGCAAGGATCCCTCATCCATCCTAATGGCGGGAGGGCAGAAAAGCCTGATGCTTTTGTACCTTACCCTACACCAGGTGATGGGGGGGCGGGCGTGGGACAGGACCCTGTTGGGTTTCCAGAGGACGAAGAGGAGGCGCGGGGCCCAGGGGGAAATCCAAGAGGGTAGAAAGGAATTCAGTGAGACACGCGCAGGACCCTGTGCCCCAGAGCAGCAGCTCTCTATGAGGGCGCATGCTCTGCCTGCCTCGGACCCAGAGGGGCGGCGTGCGGGCAGGGTGGGCTGCAGAAAGACAGCTGGAGCTCCCACTGGCACCAGGTCAGGGACACAGGCCACCAACTCCGCTGGCCTTAAAGGCCAGATCTGCCCTGGAACAACCCTGCCTCCCCAGTGCCCCGGCGCCCGGCGCGCAGCCAAAGGCTTCCAGAACCGTCAGTGTCTGGTGCGGGACTGCGGGCTGGCCGGGCAGCTCCGATAAAACCTCTGAGAATCTTTTCTTCGGTTCTTGGGGCTGAGCACCCTGGTATGAGGAGGTGAGGAGATGGAGCTGCCCGGACCTTTTCGGCATCAGCAGACTTGAGTTCGATTGACAGCTCAGCCTCTGGTCTGCCTGGTGCCTTAGTGATCAGAACACAGTCTCCCTGCCTGAAAAATGGGGGGTCACCTAGCAAATAGAATCACAGTGAGAACAGAGGTCAGGGTCTGGAGCACCCACTCTTCGCCCCCTGCCCCAGGCACCCCCCAATTCCCCCACTTGAGTATATGACATCAGGTTTGAAAGACCACTTGGAAGCAGCTATATTAAAATATTTATATGTATATAAATTACATTTATGCATTATATATAACATTTATATATTTACAGATATTATATATATGTTATAAATTTCCTCGATGATATGTATGCCTCTCTGGGAATTCACACGCATTTATTCATTCATTCAGCATGTTCTTCATGTTTATTCAGTCGTACCTACTATCGCGTGCGGGGCACTGCTGTGGGTGCTGAAGATTACAGCGTGAACAAAGCAGACCAAATCTGTGCTCTAATGGAAGGAGAAAGACATTACACAAAGAAATAAGCAAACGAAAAACATCTTACATGGTGCTAAGTGCTCTGGTGAAATGCAGCAAAGTGAGGGAGCAGAGAGGAACAGTGGAGACAGCCCTTTTTGTATGAGATGGCCAGGGAGGGCTTCTAGGAGGAGGTGACATTCAGGGTGTGATGGTTCCCCCAAAAAATATCAACTTCTGTGACTGTGGCCAGAGCTGCATGTTTGGGGATAGGGCCGGAGGTGGGAAGACACAGGGGAGCTGTCAACCCTGCGAGCAGTGTGATCCCAAGAGCTCCTGCCAGGCAGGGTGTCCGCTGAGGAGCTGGCTCTGAGTTCTTTCTTCCCAGTAAAGCAGTGGTACGAGCTGGGTGGACACAGCCCTGACCTTGTTCCTACCATTACCGCCCTCGGAGGTTTTCCTAAACCCGAGTCCCCAGAAGAGCTGCACAAAAGTTCTCCCGCAAGCTGAACCACCCAGAAGGGCACATGCCCGTAGCCCCTCAGACTCCTATGAAGTCTCAAGGCCCATGAAACAAGTGCAGCTTCTTCCTTCTCTTGCAAGGGCGAGGAATGCACGCATCCCATAGTCTTTCTAGAGCCTCCAGCCTGCCTGGCCCTCTCCTAGGTGCTGAGGATAGGACAGTGACCCCCCCCCCCCCCGTGTGCCCGCTGCCTGCTGTGTCTGTGTCTATACATGAGGGCCTGAGTCTGCCACCGTCTGTCTTCCAGTGCCTGGCCTTTGTGTCCAAGTTTCTGTCTGAGTTCCTGTTTGTATGTGTCTGCTTGTGTGCATATGGGTCCTGGCATGGTGTATATCTGTCTGTCTGCCTGTGTTGTATTGTCTTTAGGAGACAGTGCAATATTTTCCAGCTGTCCCAATTTGAGATTCAGAGAAATTTAGTTCCCCTCCACAGCCAGGTATTAAGCACCTACTGGGTGCTGAAGCCCTAATTCCACCTAAAGCCCAGGACTAGTAAGGGTAGGGCTGTCCCCACTCGACAATCTGGGGCTTGGGGTGATGGGCCCAAGGCTGCTGACCCTGACACTCTGTCCAGGGGCAGAGGGGAGGTAGGGGCTGACAGCCATTCCAATAGCATCACTGCTTCTGCAGGGGAACTGACCGTGGGGCCTGAGCTGGAGCAGGTAGACCAAGAGGAGAAGAGCTGCTTAGACCAGGGTGGATGTGGAGGCTGAGGCTGAGAACTATTCTGGTTGATTCTTGATGTATTTGAGGCAGAGCTGCAGGGTTTACTGACAGCCTGGGTGGGGGAGGTGAGAGGACTCCTGACTGCAAGCATCCTGGCTGGGATTCGGCTGAACAATGCAGCCTTCTGAGGCCAGAACGCAGAACGGGGCTGGGCGAGAGATGACCGCTCTGTTTTCTCTGTTAGGGAATCTTCTTCCCCACTAGACGGTGAATAGCTTGAGCACACAGAAGGGAGGAACTGCAGAGAGAGAGTTCCTCTCCCACCCACCCCCACCCCCACCCCTAGCCAGGAGATGTTTGCTGAGGGAATAAATGCGGATCCATCCTCTGGAGGGCGGCCTGGCACATCCACCTTCTTCCCAGAGTGAGGCCAGAGGCGGATCCTGGTCTCAAACAGATCCAAATCCTCCTTAACCTCCTCAGGGCAGCCCCTCTTCCCATGCTCCCTTCCCCATGCCCCTGCTGGTGCCATCAGGAGCTGGGAGCGTCCTACCTACTAAGGATGGGAGATGCGGGGAGACTGGGTGTCAAGGTCTGACTTGAGCTTTGAGTTCAAGGTGAGTTTTGGTGACCTTGGGCAAGTGACATAGCTCCCCTGAGCCACACGAAGACCATCCAACCCTTGGGGCACTCTGAAGCTGCAGTGAGACGAGGGCTCAGGTGGTGCCGCCTTAGCGTTCCCTGGCTGCCCCAGGGGAACACGTGAAGAAGCCCCCCACCTTCTTCTGCCACGTGTGATGCATCCTCCCCACTCCCACCATGTGGGAAGGTCCCCCAGCCCCAGTTGCCCATTTTACAAATGTGGAAAACTGAGCCTAGAGAAGGACAATGTGTCACCCTCAGTCCTGCCTCGCAAGACTGCCTGGAGAGACGTTCCTGCCAGGGTCATCACGGCCAGTGCAGCTAAACTGTGGTGGACATGCATGTGTGGCAGCCCATCCCTTTTACAGTCACAAACTTCCCCATCCAATGCAGAATGGGAAAGAGCATGGGGAGAGATGTCCAAGTGCCCAGGACTCCTACCAACCCAGTGCACCTATGATTCTATCCCATTAAAATGGATCAAATCCCTAATGGGATAACAGAGATAAACAGCTTGACACTCTGCCCAGAAAAGAGGGAGCCTGCCCTCCCTATACCTAATTCTGTGAGTCTTTTGATTAAAGGTCACACCAAAAATAGGTAAGATGGCAGCCTGGTCTGGCTGATTCAAATCCACGCCCTGTGGTTCCCTAACCACAGCCTCTCGGTGTGCCCCAAGTCTCCCAAAATGCAAAGGAGGGAGATAATAACTTTGTCTAAAGAAATCAGGGAAGGCTTCATGGAGGGAGTGATTTTGAGTTGGGTTTTGATGGGTGAATAGAAGTTTGCTGAGTGAAAAAGGGCAGGAAAGACATTCAAAGGAAGAAAGCTCAGTATGTTAAGTCAGAAGCATGCAAGGATGTGTCATGGGAAGTTTGTGGACTGGACAAGGGGAACTGGAGGCATGAGACTGGAGGTGGGCAGAGACCAAGTCACACAGGCCCCTGTGGGTCTGATGGAGTTTGGTCCTTGAAGCAGAGGGGAGGCCCTAAGGAGCTGTTAGCTGAGCAGTGGCTTGTTCCCTCTCCCTCCCTCCTTATGTTGCTAAGCAACCTCGACTCTGGGCCTGTCCATACACCTCCATCCCTGTGGTTAGCTCTCCCTCCTGTGTCCCTCCTCTCATGGCCACACCATTCTCTCTCTCCTTGCCCCACGTTCTACAGGGGCTGTGAGGGCCTCAAGCATCTTCCCAATCCTAAGTGTGATTCTGCTTTTCATGGGTGGACTCTGCATCGCAGCTAGCGAGTTCTACAAGACTCGACACAACATCATCCTGAGTGCCGGCATCTTCTTCGTATCTGCAGGTAATGGCCGCTGAGCCAGCAGGGAGAAGGCGGAGGATCTGATAGAAGGAAGGGGGCGGGGCCTCCAGACCCTGAACCAGGCTGAGTTGCAGGGAAGACAGGTTGACTGGGGCTCCCACCCCACACCAACACCTGAGCCCCCACGGAGTCCCTGGCCCCATGGCCCATCTCCTTCCACCTCTCGCAAAAGGACCAAACTCAGGGGCCTCTTAGGATCTGAGGCCTGACCTTTCTTGCCCCCTCCCCCTGGGGTCCTGTCCAGGTGGGAGCAGTCAGACCCCAAAACCACAATATGCAGCCGGTTACATGATGAGCCCCGGCTGCTTCAAATGCCAGAAAAAGAAAAGGGGCTGCAGTAGGAGGCTTTAGTAAGAATGACTAACGTTCGAGGGGCAGTTACCGTGCCCCAGCCCTCCCGTGCATTGAATCTTCTCCACCCCTCTACAGGAGTCAGTCCTCTCTTTATCCCCATTTTACAGACCTAAAAACTCAGACTAAGGCCACCTTGCCAAAGGCTTTGCATCCAGGCAGCCTGGCTCCAGGAGCCAGTCTCAACCCTCCACTAAGCCAGCTTCAAATCCCTGCGCAGCCTTGAGCAAGTAACTCAGCCCCCTGTTCTTCATTTCCTCACTATCATCTGCAAACCCCTTGAAAGACACTCAGCAGGGCCTCCCTGGTGGTGCAATGGCTTAAGTCTCAGCACTGTGAAGCTATTGGCAGCCACTGAAGCACGAGTTTGATCCCCGGCCAGGGAGCTGACCCACATGGCGCAGCAGACCTCTCCTGTCTTGCCCGCTGCTCCCCTCAGCAGTGTATTTCAGTGGATCCCCCTGTTCTGTTCCCTACTCTGTCTCTGGTGAGTCCTCTCACCCCCCACCCACCCCCCACACACACACATACACACACCTCTGGCCTACACCCAGTTCTTGTATGCATAAAATAAATAAAATTTAAAATAAAAGAGGCACTCAGCAGAGTAAACGCCCGATAAGCAATACTGTTATTATCATTCCTGTTATAGAATTCCTCTCCTTGCCCCTCTTCCATGTGTTTCCATGAGGTCTTCCCTTTCTGGCTTTCTCCCAGCGGGATGATAAAACGTTGAGGTGACACCTGTCATGGTCCCTCTGCAAGACCAAGTCGGTGGGTTCTCCCCGAAAACGAAAACACAGGCACAGGGAACCCCTTGGGCCGCCCCAGCCTCCGACCCCACCCGCGGCCCTGCGGCCTCCTGGACACTAACCCTGTTCTCCACCCGCGCGCGCGCTCCTGTCCCCGCAGGTCTGAGCAACATCATCGGCATCATCGTGTATATATCAGCCAACGCCGGGGACCCCTCCAAGAGCGACTCCAAAAAGAATAGTTACTCGTACGGCTGGTCCTTCTACTTCGGGGCCCTGTCCTTCATCATCGCCGAGATGGTCGGGGTGCTGGCGGTGCACATGTTTATCGACCGGCACAAACAGCTGCGGGCCACGGCCCGCGCCACGGACTACCTCCAGGCCTCCGCCATCACCCGCATCCCCAGCTACCGCTACCGCTACCAGCGCCGCAGCCGCTCCAGCTCCCGCTCCACCGAGCCCTCACACTCCAGGGACGCCTCCCCCGTGGGCATCAAGGGCTTCAACACCCTGCCGTCCACGGAGATCTCCATGTACACCCTCAGCAGGGACCCCCTGAAGGCCGCCACCACGCCCACCGCCACCTACAACTCCGACAGGGATAACAGCTTCCTCCAGGTTCACAACTGTATCCAGAAGGAGAACAAAGACTCTCTCCACTCCAACACAGCCAACCGCCGGACCACCCCCGTATGAAGCCCCCGGGCCCGCCCGCGCTGGGCAGGGCTGGGCAGGGCAGGGCCTGGTGGTCAGTCCCGGCCGAGCGCCCAAGAGGGGCGCAGCCTGCGCGGGGTGGGCCGGGGCGGGGGGTGGGAGGGCGGGAGAACCAAACCATCCCCGGGGAAACCTTCCAAAAGCAAAAAACAAAAAAAAAAAAAACAAAAAACACACACAAAAAAAAGAGAAAAACATAACAAGTAAATTTAAAAAAAAAGAACACATAGAAGAGGAACAAAGCAGCAAAACCGCAGGAAATGTGACAAAATATAAACGAGGGAAAGAAAAACAAACTTTAAAACAAGCGAGAGGATAAAAATTTAAACTAGACAATAAATCTAAAAGAAAATGCATGATTTCCCATGTACCATTATTTTAACATTTAATAAAAACCAATTTAAATGAAAAAAATAAAAGGGAACCAAGATAACATTAAAGGGGAGGGGAAATGAGCGGAAAGGAAGATGTTCTTTGCATTTATCGGGGGTTTGTGTTTTGTTTTGTTCTGTTCTGTTCTGAACAGGGGGAGAGTTGTTTTCTGTTCCCTTTGACCCCAAGCAGGCTCTGCCTCCCTGGGTGAGCTGGGGGTGGAGACTCAGGGGCCCCAGGGCCAGGTGAGCCTCCGGTCACTGCCAGGTCCCTGGAACCTCGGCACGGGTGCCCCAGGACGGCTGCGCAAGCACCAGGGCTCGCCAGCTGGCTCCACCCAGCACTGATGGGGCAAGTGTGGGCCTCCAGGTGACCCATGAGTCCTTGGCCCCCTCCTCCGTGAAAGGTGCCTGGAGGGGGGTGCACTTGGGGCTTCTCCAGCCCCAGGTTCCCAGTCCTTAATGGTCCTTAACCCACTGTGATGACTTCCTCGGCCTTGAGGGAAGGGAAGGAGAGGGGACGGCTGCCGGTGGCCGCAGAGATTGCCGGAAATCCCGGAATCCTCAGGGTGAGCTTCTTGGGGTCCCCACCCCAAGATCCTGTCCTTGGGGTCAGGAGATGCCCACCCCCCTAGGGGATACAAAGCAGCTCTCCCTCCTCACCCCTCACCTCAGGGCCATCCAATGACCCTGGGGCGATGGTGGATCCTAGACTCATAGGCCCCCTGCCCCCTGCAAAGGGGGCTCATTGACCCTTTGGGGGTCCTTGGACTCGCTGAAGCCCCCTTGGGCCCCAGCAGTCCAACAATGACACTGCAAAAAGGTTTCTTTTTAAAAAAGAAAAAGAAAATCAAGTGGTGATTTTTTTTTAATAAAAAAACCACAGACTATAAATAAATGTAAATATATAATAAGTGGATTTACTTGCAAGAAAATCAGATAGTATTTTTCTTTTAATTCTTTTCCAGCTTTAAACTGTGAAGACAAAAAAAAAACAATGGGTGGGGTGGGGGTCTTAAACTTTAGCAGGGAACTTGTAAAGAGAAAACAGAAAACAAATATACAAACCCATTTTTTAAAATAACGTGAGAGATTTGAGCTGGGCTTAAGGCAGGACAGAGAGGAGAAAGGCCCAAGGGAGCTGCAGGGGGATTCTGTGGCGAAAATGTCTTCCTATACCAGGAAGGTGCTGCTAGTGTGGAACAAAAAGACAACCACAGTGGAGGATCTGGTCTACACAAGGGAGACCGCACACCCCACTCCCGCACACTCCCGCACACGCACACAGTCCTCCAGGTCCAGCACGACAGTCACTCACAAGGAGCTTTGTCTACACCCTCCATCCCATACACGGCCACCGGGGTTCTGATTCACACCCTTGGAAGCCACTGTCCACAACAGCGTCACATCGGCCTCTATGCTCACAGCGTTCTCCCACCACGCCCCCAGAGCATGCGCGCGCACCTGCGTGCATGTGGGCAAGAGCATGTGCGTGCACGTGTGCACACACACGCACACACACAGACCCTGCTCGCGTGCATGGAAAAGGCACCAGTCTAGAAGCTGGACTCTGGACTCCCTTGCTGCCTGGCCTCTCTGGGCCTGAGCGTCCCCCGCGTAAGCATGTGGATGGACTCAGATGAGCTCCCAAAGGCCTATTTTTATTCCCTGTGTCACTGGCTTTTGAGACCTGCCACCTGCCCAGAGGAAGATGCCCGGAGATACCCAAATAGCTGCCACCCAGGCCCCAGACATTGAGAACATTCCCAAATCCACCACGCAGACACATGCGCACGCGCACACACACACACACACACACACACACACACACACACCCTGTATGCCTCCTCACTGTGCTCCCAACACCCTGTCCCCACCTCCAGTGTCAAAGCAAAAACACACCCACGTGAGCAAACATATCCAGCCGTTCAGACAGAGAGGGCAAAGCACCACAGGTCCCCAAAGCCACTCTGCATTTTGTGTCCCCTTTCCTCAATACCATACCCGGGTCACAGAGGTGAGGAGGGCCTTGAGAGGTGCCCCAATCGTGGGCATCCCCCTCTGTCTCTGGGGGTCAGAAAAAAGAGTTTTGCTGGGAGAATCAGGCCAAGAGGATGGAGAGGAGAGCTTTAGAAAAGTTCCTGTCCCAGGGTGAAGACCAGCCCCAAGTGAAACTCTCACCCAGTAGTAAAGTCTGGGGGTGTCCAGTGTTTCTCCCCTTTCTTTCTTCCCAGAGCCACAAGGGCCAGTGCAGACTGACGGAAACCCCACTGATTCTCAGAGCCGGAAAGTCAGCTGCCGGGAGTCACTCTGCTCCCAGCGAGGGGCCCTGCAGCCCACAGGGGCACATCTTGGTTCTTCTCTTTCTTGAGCATCTCCTGGCCAGTTGGGGGTGCAATCCAGGCTCGGGAGGGCTTGCACACCCTCAGCTGCCCTTCGCATCTTTAGTCTCGGAGAGGAAAGTTCTTTTCCCAGATCAGCAGCAGCTGGAACCTACAACTCATCCTGAGCCACCAGACAGAACACCTGGCAGCCCAGGCAGTGCAGGGGTGGGGCCCAGGGAGGAGCAGCATGGCCGCCGCCCTGGGTGGTGGCAAAGCACTATTTCTCCCTCCCCCACTCTGGTCTTGGCCACTGGGCACCAGAGCCCAAACCAGAAACAAATCAAGGCCTACCTAGAGAGAAGGGAGAGGCCCTGCGTGCTAACACGCGGGGATTGTCCAAAGAGGAAACTGACCCCAATTCTCCCAGCTCCGGCAGAGTGTTTGGGGGGCCATCAGCACTTCTTTCCATGCCAGGAGGCCCAGGTCCTCGGTCCCAGGTCCCTGGGGAATGGGGTGAAACCAGCAAGACAGGAAAAGGGCTAGGGGACCCGGCGGGAGGGGAGGGGCTGGGGCCGGGTCTGCAGGCCTCGGTCTGCCAGAGCGGGCGATTGCTCATGTCCAGCTCCAACCAGTTCAAGAAACCAACCAACATTTTATTTTCTTGGTGGGTCCTTTTTTTTTTTTTTCAGACTGTTAACAGAAAAAAATTTTAAAAAGCAGAAAACTAAAAAAAGAAAAAAATGAAAAAAAATCCTGGTACATGAAATAAAGATTTTTTTTTATAGCTTGGTCCTCACTTCTGTGCATTTCTTTCCTTGCTTTCCCAACTTCTGGCATCCCTTTCAGAATCATCCTAAAGCCACTGAGCCTCAGAGTCAGGGGCTAGCAGGCTGTGAGGTTGTGCAATAAAAGGTCCCCACATCCCATTTCATGAGTCTCCTCTTAAATGTTCCTCCTCGACACTCACACACCCCCGTGACCTGCCTAGACAGCCGCAGCCAGTGCCATGAAACCTTCCTCTGCACAGTGAGCTTCAATCCCCTTCCTCCTTTCAGCAGCAGCGACGTTGAAGGAACCCCTTCCCTTTCTGCACTTCAGCCCCTCACCTATTTGAAAAAGTGAGGTTGACAATGTCCTTGAGTTTCCTGCTACAGAATGAGCAGCCCTACTCATCACCCCAGCGACACTCCGGTTTTCCATGCTCCCCGGGAAGGTGTGAGACCGCACTGGACATGACCCTGCCCCATGCTCGGGGGCTCCCTCCACAGGGGCGCTCTTGGGAGAAGAATGGGAGGCTCTGACAGGGCCCCTGGGCCTCCCCTAACTTGCGGAGATGAGACAGGTAAGATGGGATGAGGCTCAGGCCGCCCTGACAGAACACCATAGGCTGGCGGACTTAAACAACAGGCCTGGATTTCTCACCATTCTGGGGGCTGAGAAATCCAAGATCAAGGCGCCAGCAGATACAGTTCCTGGCGAGAACACTCTTCTGGTGCTTTCTGTGTCCAGAGAGGGGGCTCCGCTGCTCTGCCTCTTCTTCTAAGGCGCTAACCCCAGGCTGGGAACCCCATGACCTCATCTCGACCTAATTATGGCCCCAGACCCACCTCCAAATACCGTCACATTGGTGGACAGGGCTTCAACATATATACTGGGGGACACACTCGGTCCATACCAGCGCGCTAACAGGAGGATTTGACCCTCGATATTTGAGAGCCAGCCCACCTCGGCCCAGGCCAGGCCAGGCCAGACTTCCTGCCAGTGAGCCACTCGAAGGAGGATGCAAGTGCCTCTCAGAATGCAGCGATTACATTTAATCAGTTCATTTTAACTGTAAGAACTCATGTCAAATAGGATGCAAGGAAAGAAAGTCGACAGCAGTCAAGATTTAAGAAGCAAATCAAGAAGTGCTCACCTGTTGGCAAATGGTAACAGCCCTCCTGCTCCTCACGCCTCCTGTGCCACGGTGGCACCAGCGCCCTCACTGCATCTATTGTCCCTGACTCAGAAGCCAGGCACAGGCTCGCCAGCACCGAGCAGCAGGCGAAGGGAAACCACGGTGATACATTGTTCTGAAGAGAGAAGAAAGCTGCATTCTGTCCTCCGATCTCATCACAAACAAGAAAGCGGGGAGGTCATGTTCATGATGGTGGTAGGGATTCACTGTCTGCTTGTTTAGAATTTCCATCGGGAGAGCCAGAAGGGCCACCTGTGGGAGCAGCGAGCACCCGGGCACCTTGGGAATTGTCAGGGGGCACAGGGTGAGTCCCCCTTGTCATGCCCCAGCTCTGACCCAGGCCACGTATCTTCATGAGCTC